CGAGGTGTTTTAAGGAGAAAATTCTTCAGAAAAGGAAAAAAAATCCTCTCAAGAGTTAAACTTCTGTTTTTAAATTACAAAGAGTATTTTTATTTTTACTCTGAACTAAAAATAAAATACTTGGCAAGTTTTGTGAAAAGTATTAAAGAAAAATGAGAAGAAAAAGAAGAGAATTCTAGGTGCTTAGTACACATTAATCATATCACTTAATTAGCTGCTAGAAAGTCCTTATGTACTATGACTGTCAAAACTACAGAATAACCTGCATGGGACTGGCACTACCTAGATTAGGTCATTAACTCCAAAAAAGAACAAATTATTCAAACCTGATGCCATGGGCTGAGATTTGTAGACACATTTTCTCCATTGGTCCAACCTTCCTTCCAGGTAAGAGCAAAGGGAAGACTTACCTGGAAGCAAAGTCCAATTCTGATCTGGGTAGAAACCTAAACGGCTGCCTGACAACTGCCTCCACGGTGCGTGGTGGCTTTGCCAAGTACAAACGTGGAAGCAACAGACCATTAGCCATCCCTGTCCAGTTCATCTCCTAGGAAAGACACGTCTAGGGGGCCAATGCTGAATGATCCTGAATTTCTTCTCCAGCTCATTTAATAAAGCCAACACTCTAAAGCAGCCCAAAAGCTACTGTAACACTGACTTTCTACTCCTGTGAAAATAATTCTGCTCAAGTCCCTTAGCGTTACTCTTTCCAGTTCTTTTTCAATGTAAAAATTTTACAGACTTCCTAACCCCTCTGGTCTTTACGGAAGAAAACTGACTTAAGATGCATTGAAGGGCCTTTGTGTTTTCACTCTGCAGTGAATAACAAACAGTAACACTGGTTTCATTTTTCAGAACTGACAAAATCCAGCACTCTCACCACACCAGTTTCAGAAAACTTCATTAAACCGCGCTTTGTGCCTGTTCTCCAAACAAGAAAAATGAACAGGTAAACTTGTACGCTTTTTCCCCACATATCTGGGAACCGCTCAGCAAAATCACAAATGGTAGTCAGTACAAAAACTTGAATATGAACAAAAATTATGCCACGTACACTAAGGTAACTTCAAGAAGAGTGTGTCTGACACACCCAAGGGACATATGGACAGTTCAACTTATTCAGCGCTGGTAGACAAGATGCTCAAATACCATCTTCTGCTACTCCTGTGGTGGGTTCACTGGGAGGGAAGCACCCTCCTCACGTATTGGCTTCGGGGGGAACTTATTGCTGCCTATCAGTACTTAAAGGGGGCTTATGAGAAAGATGGGGGCAAACTTTTTAGCAGGGCCTGTTGTGACAGGACAAGGGGGAACAGCTTTAAACTAAAGGGGGGTAGATTCAGACTAGATATAAGGAAGAAATTTTTTATGCTGAGAGTGGTGAAACCCTGGCACAGGTTGCCCAGAGAGGTGGTGGATGCCCCATCCCTGGAAACATTCCAGGTCAGGTTGGACGGGGCTCTGAGCAACCTGATCTAGTTGAAGATGTCCCTGCCCATGGCAGGGGGGTTGGACTAGATGGCCTTTAGAGGGCCCTTCCAACCCAAACTATTCTATGATTCTGTGATTCTACACTCATTAATGCAAAAGGTTTTCCCATAAGTATCTAATGTCACCTTTATTAACTAACAGTTGAAAATGCCAAAGCTTCGCCCAATTCACATATCATGAAAAGAAAACACCATAAAAGTAAAGAGCTACAGCAATCACTAGATAATCATTATCTTCATTAAAATACAGCCACAGGACTTCATATTCACTGCTTCATGACTTTTACTGAACTCATTTGCTGGTCACAGAGAAATCCAGTCCACAAAGGGAGCATTGCCATTTGAATCATTCTAGTGCTAACACCCTTGAGTGGGAATGAAAAAAATGTGTATTTTCAGCCCCACAGATGTGGTTGAACTAACAGCTATTTCAACCTTAATTAAAACAGTTCTTGTTACTTCCAGCATGATGCACACAATGCTTAACCTGTGTGCCCAGAGCAGCTCAGAAGAGAGGACAAACTATTTCTGCAGGCTCTGGTACGGCCAAAACCACATTAAAGCACTCTAGAATTATGCCCAAGGAAGGTTGCTTGTGTCAAGGTATCTCCATCAAGAGATATTGCTGCTAAATGCTACTAAGGACCTAATGAGCAAATGTAACATATGTGGAAAGCAGCTTCCTTGAAAACGGTCTTTGTAAATTTGCTTCCATGGTTTAGAGCCACAATGGAACATATGCATGCATTTTTTTGAATAGAAAGATTTGTGCATTTGTACAGTCGGGATTATTACTGTTTTGCAATTAAATAGTCCCTATAGTCTAGGCTACACTTCTGACAGTGAATAAGAATCTAGCTATTAGTTTACCACTTGTCTTCATCAGTTTCTTAAGTGACTCTGGCAATTGAATCAAGGAGATTTTTTTCCTGCTCAGCTCCATCTGTTACCTGAATCCATGGCCATCTGTCATTTTCTGCGGCAGTCCAAGCATTCACAAGACCTTTCTTATTAAGTCGTGCATAGTATGGATACCATTTCTGGAGTCCAAAAAGAGCTCGATGAGTGGATGACGCAGTAATTTGTTGGTTTGACACAATTCCTCCTTCTATGCCTAGTGGGCCAGAGCATCCTGCAAATGGAAACAAAAAAAGAAATGAATGCAACTGAAATGATCAACTCTTCTGAGTCCCAAGTGGCTGTAATTACAAATAGCATACAAATAGATCCAAATACGTTATTAGAAGAGATTTAAAGCACTTGGGTAGCATCTTCTTTTTGTAGAAATGGAAAAAAAGGTAAAAAAATATTGCTTATAAATAACCGTTCCCATTGCAAAATTAATGAAATAGATTTAAGCTTTCAATTTCTTTTAGTTTGTTCTAGCTGAAGATTTGTGAGTTTGGATTTTATGGATACAATGCAAGAAAATGGTAGTGGTCAATGACTCAATGTCCAGATGGAGATTGGTGACGAGTGGCGTCCTGCAGGGGTCCGTATTGGGACCAGTACTGTTTAATATCTTCATCATAATGACATAGACAGTGGGATTGAGTGTACCCCCAGCAAGTTTGCAGATGACACCAAGCTGAGTGGTGCGGTCGACATGCCAGAGGGATGGGATGCCATGCAGAGGGACCTGGACAAGCTCGAGAAGCGGGTCCTTGTGAACCTCATGAGGTTTAACAAGGCCAAGTGCAAGGTCCTGCACCTGGGTCGGGGCAACCCCCAGTATCACTACAGGCTGGGGGATGAAGGGATTGAGAGCAGCCCTGCCGAGAAGGACCTGGGGGTACTAGTGGATGAAAAGCTGGACATGAACCAGCAATGTGCGCTTGCAGCCCAGAAGGCCAATCGTATCCTGGGCTGCATTAAAAGAAGCGTGGCCAGCAGGTCGAGGGAGGGGATTCTGCCCCTCTACTCTGCTCTGGTGAGACCCCACCTGGAGCACTGCCGCCAGCTCTGGAGCCCTCGGCATAAGAAAGACACGGACCTGTTGGAGCGGGTCCAGAAGAGGGCCACGAAAATGATCAGGGGGATGGAACAACTCTCCTATGAAGAAAGGCTGAGAGAGTTGGGGTTGTTCAGCCTGGAGAAGAGAAGGCTTTGTGGAGACCTTATTGCAGCCTATCAGTACTTAAATGGGGCTTATAAAAAGGATGGGGACAGACTTTTTAGCAGGGCCTGTTGCAACAGGACAAGGGGGAATGGCTTTAAACTAAAGGGGGGTAGATATAGACTAGATATAAGGAAGAAATTTTTTACGCTGAGGGTGGTGAAACCCTGGCACAGGTTGCCCAGAGAGGGGGTGGATGCCCCATCCCTGGAAACATTCCAGGTCAGGTTGGACGGGGCTCTGAGCAACCCGATCTAGTTGACGATGTCCCTGCCCATGGCAGGCGTGTTGGACTAGATGACCTTTAGAGGTCCCTTCCAACCCAAACTATTCTATGATTCTGTGGTTCTATGAAAATGATCCTTAGATTCAAATACTGAAATAGTTGTTAAAAGCAAATTTAAAATTCTGTAATTACTGCAAAGTTCCATATTGCTGCTCTTGCCACAGATGTTAGGATTTAGCCAATATGCTACATATTGTTAATGCAGTTATCTTTAGAAATATGAAACTAGATACATGGTATTGTTCAGTTGCATTAAAAACAGTTAAAGGTCTTATATATTTAATCAGAAAACCACAAAGTATGCATTTAACTGTAATGTTCAAATGTTCATAATTTTATGTGTGGTATTCATCATTAATTTATTCACCTGAAATACTTGCAGATGTAATCTTTTTTAAAGTCAAGATATTTCTGCATACATTGTTTTCTGAAGCCACTCCATTTGGGTACAGGAACAGGAGCATTCAGTTATTGTGAGCAATCCAAACAGAGAAAAATTTGGAAATTCATTATATACAAATGATTAGCAGTCTACCTACTATTAAATACCCCCAAACACTTTCAAGTAAATAATTTTTTTTTCTCAACTCAATTTTGATGCAAAGTATAAAAAGAAGCTAACTGCAGGAACTACTGTAGCAGCCGATCTTGCTCAGTTGCCCAAAAGATCTTCTGCTTTGTGGGTCAACTGCACTTCAGCAATTTTGAACCCAACAGGATAGAGCAGATGTTTACTCTATACTTTAGGTTTTCCCAGAGGCCTGGCAGTGTTTCACCTTAAGCAGCACCCAAGAATGAACTCTGAAATGGCACTGCTACGAAATCCTTACACCATATGGGCAGAAAGTCACAAATAATTTAATTCCTCATTAATTTAAAGTTACAGAGAAGAAAAAGTGACCAGTGCAATTTTGCTCCTCTCGGCAGAAGCTGAGGCAGGAAGACAGTGCTGGGAGTCGCTGGCAATACAATCCCTGGGTATTGTGTGTCACTGATAATGGAGACAAATATAAATTAAATTGCAGTTTTAAGTTTATTATGGAGCAAGGGCCATGGACAAGCACATGCTTGAGCTCTGAAAAGATAAACTAAAACCCCCACAAAGGTGGGGTTCCAAATCTGTTACTTCTTAACTACAAAACCTGGTTTACTTCCAGAATATGCTTAAATGAAATATTGAAATTAATGACTGATTTGCACAATACGATGATTTAATCCACATTTTTAACAGTCCACAAAGTTCAGCTAGAATCTAAAGTCCTAGTACTACTTTTTTGTGTCATGTATCACCCAACAATAAAGGCGGCGCATTAAGCACTTGACTAATAACTCTCTTCATGCTGCACAAAACAAAACAAAATGCAGCTCTCTCCTGCTGCTGTGCCAGGTGCGTAGTAGTGCCAGAAGAAAACAAATTCTTTGTCACCAGCATAGGCAGGGACTATATAGGACGTATTCAAAAAATCCACGTATGTTGGAAAAGTGTCATTTTTCATTGTGTTGTCAAGCGTTACTTAAAAATTGAAAGACCTATTCAAATTTTAGCTCTGTTTCTGAAATCTTTTCATCTAATCAGCATAAATTCTTTTAGTGTATAAACTGCCATATCTGCTTGCAAGCCAGAGGTAAACTATTCTACTTTCCAAAGAAAATTCCGTATTTTCAAAAGTTTCTTATATTTACTTATTAAAATGTCTTTGTTGTTTCATGATGGAAAATAAAGTGTGCAGATGTGTGTCTATATGTATGTGTAACTCACAAACATACACACGTACACATAGGACTGATTCCAGCTTACCATGAAATTAACCACCCCTAACAGCTGGTATAGACTGATAAGTATTTAAAAATAGAGATGTGAGGAAACAGAAAAGAGGTTTCCAAGATGAGCTTAAAAAGGAAGCATGGAGGTATGGCAGGTGTTTTAATATGGATGTGGAGCATACAGCTATATTCTTTATAAATATTCTCCTCTCATGGTGAGGAGCACGGGGTGAGGACACCTGCCAGCCCTGCTAGCGTTATTCAGTGACCTAACGGGAAAAAATGTGTGCACAAGGACAGAGACCCAGCATGTGTCAGGGCCAGTTTTGAGTGGGGTCCAGAATAAGGATATTTGGCTTTAGCAGATAAGTTTCAAAAGAAGAACATGTATCTGACAACGAGACCCTTGATCTCCTATAGACAACCTAGCTTTGGCAGACTTGGAAGAGATGTGGATGTCCATTGTTTTTGCTTATCATCCTTTGTTTAAGGTGCAGAACTTTGTGGAAGGTTTTGATTTGAAGGCATATTAGTTCTCACGCTTGAGGTGCATTAAAAGGTATTTGAAATATGTGTGAATTCCTTGCAAGAGAAAGGTGAGTTTTCCTTTCTAAATTGAAGGCATTTAAATTACCACGTAGAGCACTTAACTCCACTTTGTCAGCTATGACCATATATGGTCAGAAGTGTTTACCTTCCTTAGCTTTAGGAGGATTATTCCTGAAATCCAAAGCAAATCTCTACCTTCAGCGAATAGGTACTTCATTGTACAAGCTTCTTATTTTAATTGTAGTTCCAGTCTTGGTTTGTCATGTTTGTTAGTTTTTCAATGTAAGTTAAACACAAAACTTACCACTCCTAAAAATTTATATTACCACATTAGAGATAATTTCTACAGAACGGTGTTCCATTCAAGCATAACAACATGACATGTGTAGGAAATATGAGACTGGATAACAATTTCTAGACAATATTAGCCTTACAAAGTAATATATATGTATGCACCACTAAGATCTGTCTTTAGAGGACCATCATTTTTCACTGCCCTGAAGGACATCAGATCATTTTCATGAGGTGGGAAGCCTGGATTAGGCTAAAGCTTAATCCTGCTCAAGGCGTGCTTGCAGGTCCAAACCACAGAACTTGCAATGCAATCCTACTCTGACCATAACAGTGCCGATGAACTGAGCAATTTCCGAGGGACAGGTCTGGCAGATGGGCCTTGAGGAAGCCCTCCCAAGGCTATCTCTTCCTGAGACATAAGATACCTCCACATGCATCAGGAGGGTTTTTTTTTTTTGAGTAGTCTTACCTTGAACTAGGCCACATTGAATTTAACTTTCAGTTTCATAGCCAGGTCAATCTGTCTTTCAAGATATTTTTAAAAGTCTTCAGTCCATTTTAATAATGCTAAGTACATTTCTTAAATTATCAGAACATTTTGCTATCTTACTTATTTATTGAATAGCCAGGACTCCACCAGAGTTTTTGCTAGGACTCTGTGAGTAAGCTCCTTCCACTGTTAAAACTGCCCATTTACCCACCCTTTAGGTCTTTATTTTTAATCAGACTTTACTCTACAAGAAAACGTTTCAGTTTACTTTCTTTTATCAGTTGAAAGGAAATAGTTGAACACATTTTTGGATAGTAAAATACCACACAGCAAACGGACTTCCCATAGCCATATGCTCATTAATTTCTTCCAAATACTCCAATAGATTTGTGAGTCATGCTTTCTCCTTACAAAAGCTCTAATGGGGCTATTACTCTCTAAATTCCCAAGAAATTTACTTTGCCTGAAAACTCTCAGCTGAATAATCTACCTCTGGTTCCATCAAACATGTTGTACCAGTAAAGGACTGGTTACAGACCAGCTTCTGCGTAAGATATTCAATTTGAGACAAACAATACTTTCCTTCAAGTTAAGATACTTAAGTATCTTAGTGCTTAAGGGCTGTGATATGCC